GACAGGGCTTGAGCATGACTTTGCTGGTAAATGAGCAAAATTACTTCTGGTTCAGGTTGCCTGACAATGTTAGTAATTCCTGCCTAACATTTCTCTTGAGAGGAACCAGGGCTTTCTCTCTGAACTATCCATTTCTCTTGCCCTCAAAGAAACAAAACATAGCAAAATTTCCCAATATAAGTGGAAGAAATGATACCATGCTCTTTATGAACCTCATTTAATGACATCTGGCTTTAATTTAATATTACAAATAAATTATTAAACCATGCCAGAAATGAAACATATAGACATTGTTACATGGTTTTTTATTGTAGGATAGATTAGCAGTTCCCTGACTACACTTTGAGAACATCGATCTTCACTGGCACATCAAGAGCATTACTAAAATCTCCCATCTGTTTTCTTAGCTCACGACTTTATCTTGCGTTTGCACATCCTGTGTAATACTAGCACAAGAATTGCATGGGTTGCAAAACCTAGTAATGATTTGCAGGGAGTAGGTAATATTCTAGAAAGATTTCTTTAGTCTCATAGTTCTCAGATTAAATATTTTAAATTTAGTTCTTTACATTTTTATTGTTTTATTCTGGGTAATTTGGAAATAATTAAGATATAGGATGTTAAGAAGCATTTACTGCTTTGTAGGCTGAGGCAGGAGAATCGCTTGAACCCAGGAGGTGAGGGTTGCAGTGAGCCAAGATCGTGCCACTGCACTCCAACTTGGGTAACACAGTGAGAGTCCATCTCAAAAAAAAAAAAAAGGAGCATTAATTAAAACCCTGGGACTAAATGATAAGAAATACGGAAGCACCATTACTTTCTTTCTTTTTCTTTTTTTGAGACAGAGTCTCACTCTGTCACCAGGTGCCAGGCTGGAGCGCAGTAGCGCGACCTCGGCTCACTGCAACCTCCGCCTCCCAGGGTCAAGCAATTCTCCTGCCTTGGCCTCCCTAGTAGCTGGGACCACAGGCGCGCGCCACCACACTCGGCTAATTGTTTTGTGTTTTTAGTAGAGACGGGGTTTCACCATGTTGGCCAGGATGGTCTCGATCTTTTGATCTTGTGATCCGCCCGCCTCGGCCTCCCAAAGTGCTGGGATTACAGGCGTGAGCCACCGTGCCTGGCCAGAAGCGCCATTTACTTTCACTCGGTCTCAGAGTGCTTTCACAGTCCTGTTCTGCAGATGTTTTCTCTTTGAGGTTATCATCTCACAGATGCACACCATGTTTGGACTATAATCAGTGTAAGTCGGGTTATATAGATGACATTTGCCCTTATTTTCACACCCTTTGGTTTACCTACCTAAATTAAATTGGATTTAAGATGAAAGGAATTCCTTACAGTGACAGCTTGCGATGTGCAAATGAGTAGAACCCAAATGGCTGCCCTCCTGAGGATACCTCCTTTCCTCCTGTCATTGTCCTTGGATTACCAATTGCCTTGAGTCTGGACCCCAGAAAAGCTTTGGGTAAATTCCATTGTCACTAGGGAAAGATTTCTGGTGGAAGTGACATCAGGAATTCCAAGGCATGGTCGAGTGTAGGGAGGATTATAAGATTCAAAGACCATTTTAAGTTATTCATGAAAATGAAAAAGCAAGAAAAGTACAAACCTTTCCTTTTGCAGTCCAGTGTTTGTATGGGAAACACATAATTGTGGCAAAAAGTTGAGTCCACCTCAGGCTTGATGACTGGGGGTCTCCCTGACACTTGGGGTTTCGGGTCCAATTGTTCCTTTTCTTCTTCATTGCACAACTGTTCAGATTTTATCTGTCGCAGTTTTTTATTTTTTTGTTCTTGTGGGGTTTCGCACTTGGCATAGTTTCCCAAATTTCGGTTCCTGGGAATCTGCAACATTGAAATAAGCGTTTCTATCTCACAAGTACAATGCCAAGGGTTGTCATAAAGACGCAGGTAGCTCAGGAGAGGTGTGTAAATGAACACTTCCTCTGTCAAGACTTTGATCTGGTTGTGCTGCAGTAAGAGGGTGGTGAGTTTGTTTAAACCAAAGAACGCCTCACTCTCAATTTTAGAGATCTCATTCTGCTGCAGATCCAGGCTTTTCAGCTTTTTAAACTTGGAAAACATGTTGTTCTTCAATATGCGGATCTTGTTTCTTGCTAGCAGCATGTGCAGCAAATCCTGAGGCCAATCAGGCAGCACATAAACTAATTTTCTTTCTTGACAATCTAAGTACTTTTCATGCAGATATGTGTACACGTCACATGGGAGGCCTGGTGCGTAGCGTTTGACTGGGTTGGAGCCTCTCCGGCCTCCACCCGCCGGGCCATGATTCACTCGGCTTCTCACAGTGCCTGGCCTTGCTTTGCGCAGCTCAGCAGCTTTGCAAAAGCAGAGCAAGATTACAATGATAACCACGCGCATCCTGACATCCAGCTGGCCCCAATTACTTCGTGTGACAGATGGAACAATGAAAATATTTCTTTGAAATCCAAGTTTGAGTAATCTTAACTAATGCAGTTCTGGAACAATGAGACCCAGCTGGGGTATGTGGAGTCCCTAGGTTGGAAGATAAAAAAATGTGTATTAAAAGTTAAGGCACATTGCAAGTGCTGTGTTATTGACAGATACAAACAGATTTTTTAAGGCAAAGGCCGTCTAGTTCCACAGAACAGTGACGTAGAAAGCTTCTGCCCCTCTTAGTTGCCTGGGTTAGAGGCTGAATGTGTCCTGAGTTTGAATCAAGGCTCTCTTACCTGCTTACTGTATCAACCTAGGCTAGTTATGTTATTTAACCTCATCTTCAGCATCTGTAAAACAGGACTGAGGATACCTCTTACTATTGTTGGGAGGATAAAATAGGCTCGTGTACATAAGGTGCTTCACAGTGGCAGCCCCAGGGAAGTAGTCACAAATGTTAGGACTCAGCCTGATAAAAACTGAAACCTGTAATTCATCATCAAATCGGATTTAAGAAATTAAAAGAATTCTCCACACAGCCTTGAGATGTACACTTAAGGGTAGAACTTGAATAGTTGTCTTTCTGAGCTTATTTTTTTCTATCCTCTACTGTCTCCCAATCACCAACTATGTTGAGTGTGGACTCCAGAGATGCTTGAAGTCAATGGCACTGTCCTTGTCATCTCCTGCACGTCTTGGCTCCAATGTTACCTTTTCAGTGAAAACTTCCTGTTCAGCCCCATTTTAAATCACATTCCCTCCCATTTGTTGGGTGCTCCCAATTCCTTTTCTTGTTTCATTTCTTCTCCGTAGCACTTAATCACCATCTGTCAAAGTAGATATGGTATTTAACTTCTTTTGTTTACTGTTAGTCTCTCCCGACTAGAAACTAAACTCCTTAAGGGAAAAGATTTTTGTTTGTTTTGTTAACTGCTGTATTTCCTTGACAAATATTTGTTGAACTGATTAATTACTCTCAAATAACTATTCTGGCTGAGTGCAATGGCTCATGCCTGTAATCCCAGCACTTTGGGAGGCTGAGGCGGGCAGATCGCTTGAGCCCAGGAGAGCAGTCTAGGCAGCATCGGGAAACCCTGTCTCTACAAAAAATACAGACATTATCCAAGCGTGGTGGTATGCACCTGTAGTGTCAGCTACTTGGGAATGGGAGTCGGGGTTGCTGAAGTGGAAGGATCACCTGAGCCTGGGAGGTTGAGGCTGCAGTGAGCCGACATGGCGCCAACTGCGCTCTGGCCTGGGTGACAGAGCGAGATCCTGTCTCAAAAAAAACAAAACAAACAGAGTAACTGTTGTATACTGTAAGGACATTTATTTCATAACTTGTATTGTTTGGGAAATCTATTTTCTCCTTAATAAATATTATTGAGGACACTTCCAGATTGTGCACATTTTTACCAATTGTTTTCATTTTTTAAAAATTCCGAAAGTATTTCTGGTTTGCATATATCACTTAGGATGCAGTCCACTCTTGGCAAAGGAAGAAATGTTTGAAATAGATTTATAACTGCTATCATGTCTGTTGTTATTAGTGTGGGGCTATGTGGTTATGAGCAGCAAATGTGTTTTCTATTCGTTGTGGCAATTTGAATGCAGAATCACCCCTTTGCCTGGAGTTTTCCTGCTTCATGGGGTCTCCACCTAGAATCCCTTCCCTTTTCTTTGCTTCAAGCATTTATCCCAGTCACTGGTTTGTGTGGCCTTCCTAGCTACTTCTCTTCTGTCTCAGATTTGGAGTTTTATTTACTGTCCACTGAGTTTCAGGGCACTGATTGTGAAACACTTTTCCGTCTAGCTATTTGGATACATGTCTCATTTTCCCTTAGAGTTCATAGCTGTGCTGTGGCCTCTGGTCCCAGAGCTAATCAGGTGCTTAGCCTCTCTGGCCCTTCATTTGTCTATTTGTAATTCATTATAAATCGTATATAAGTTTGACCTAAAAAATTATGTCAACTATTCTCTTTATTATTATGCATGCTGAATTATTTATTATATACATGTTGAAGTATATGGGGGGAAGTTTACTGGTGTCTGCAACTTACTCTGAAATGCATACAAAAATAAGATTATTGAGGGATGTATAGAGAGATGAATGAGTAGGTGGATATATGGTAAAGCAAATAGAGTAAAATATAAATTAGAATCCAGGCAGTGGCTATACATTTATTATACAGTTCTTTCCACTTTTGTGTATGTTTGAAAATTTTCATATTAAAACATTAAAAGAAAACAAAAAAGCATGCACAAATAATCGGGTTGGTTTTCTTCAAGTGCTTCCAAGCTAAAAGCACTAAGTATATAGTGTTTTTCCCAAAGTAATATTTTTCTCTTTTCCCCTTGCTCCTATAATCCTCAAACAATATTAAACATGTGTATATATTTTAATTCTGAAGCCCAAAAAAGTCCGTTTTCTGGGAAAAGAAACCATATACTCAGAACATATTACTTGCCAAGGTTTTTGTTTGTTTTCTAATGAATACATTGCATTCAATGTAGGATAGAAAAACTTTGTTTAAACATTTGTAATATGTAGTTTAGTAATGTGTAACTTATTTGATTTAGGCCACTGTAGGAACTTGCAAGAGTTGAATGTCTCTGACTGCCCAACATTCACAGTGAGTATAAGCAACCATTTTTACTGCTGTTTATACAGATTGACTTGCTACATTGGAGTGCCAATATGCAGAGTAGATGGTTGTGTTATTATTTGGGATTCAATGTGGAAAAGAGCAAACTATGTTAAACACTGACAAGAAATTTTACTCCATCTGTACAATGCTAATATTAATCATGTAGATGTATGCTCAGTGCTGGAGCCTCTGACAAGCAGAAATTTTTCAATGACTATCCACAATGAACTGTATTTATATTTAATGGTATGTGTGTATGAGGCAGAAAAAATTGGGCCCCATTAGACATGGTAGGCTCATTTTATCTTCATGCCTATCAACAGCTATACCCAAGAAGATGGAAATGAACATGCATCCGTAGTTGCTTTCTTCCTAGTTCCTGTCTCCAGACTTTTCCTCTGTCCCAACCTGTCTTCCACTCTGTCTTCCATTTTACAAAGAGTATAAAGTGAGCACTTTATACTGTTTGTAAAAGGCAGGTATGACTGCTTCACTTTCATTTTCCATTAACTACACACACTCCTGTCATCTGCACAATTGGATAAAGCCAAAGCTCTTTAATGTTACTCTACCTTGAAGACCCTCTATGGTTTTGCCTCTGCCTCCCTTTCCAGCCTCACTTGCTTCAGTTTCCATGTACACACTAATTTTCAGTGACTACAGCTGCCGAGTGTCCTTTCCTGCGTGCTCCAAGTTGCTCCTTGTAGTTGTGCATTTGCTCTTTGCTTAGAATACCCTTTCCTTTTGTCTCCAAGTAGTGCTTTCTTCTTTGTCAGGTTTTAAGGCCTATTATCACCTCTTCTACCAGGACATCACTGGCTCCAGGGCTGGGTTCCAATGATAAGTATCCTTAATCATAGGGTTTCTGCTTCCTCCAATAGCCTAAGAGACCCAAAGGGCAGGAGATGTGTTTTATTCTTTGTGGTAGTCATAGCACCCAGCACAAACTTTGGCATATTATGTTCAATAATATTTAGTGAATGCAGTTATCTGGAGATACCAAGTAAGCAATAGACAACATTGGCTAGAATTGAAATTCCATCTTGGGTTGACATCTATATATAGATGTCAATAATTAACATCACAAGAGTGAATAAGATAAACTTATAGAGAAGATATGAGAGGAGAAGACTTAAACATGAGCCTGAGGGAATGCTGACTTTTAGCAGCAGACAGAGGATATTCAGAAAGATAAGTAAGAGAAGTAGGTTGACAATGAAGAGATATCACAAAATGATAGTGAGTAAAGAGTTTCAGAAAGAACCAAAGTGAACAGGTAAGAAAAGGACTAAAAAATGCATTGTAGGTTTGAGAATCACAAGGGACTGCCATGTTTTGCTACAACAGTTTCAGTGGGTTATTGGAGCAGAAATCTATTTGTAGTGAATTGTGATGTGGACAAGAGGTGAGAAGGTGAAGCATGAGGCATAACCTGATCTTTCCAGGAAAAATGGCTTAGAGAGTGGTAGAAGGAAAACAGGGGCAGGAAAATGGAAACAGGTTTATAGAGGATGATGGAGAGTCAGCTGAAGCAACTCATGGAGCAAGTCCCTGAGGAGGCAGAAGGGAATAGGAGGAAGGACTGGCTGTGGAATGCCAATCATGAGGCACCAACTCCACCATGAAGGGGAAGCTCTCCTTGCCAGTGAAAAGACTGCATTAATTGGCTCCTCCCTGCTACCTCTCAGCCTCATTTTTACAGCCTCATATTTCTAGTTTTTTCTTTCCCATTTCTACTCTATTTAAATACTGAACCACTTGAAGTTCCCTGTTCATGTCATCCTATTTCCTTGTGTCCTTGAACTTGTTTTTCCATCTGCCTAAATGACCACCCTTCCTTTCCCACCACCCCAGCCCAACCTGGCTAACACTTTTTCATTCTTTAACACACTCTTCAATTCTGTTGGGTCTTCCCACTCTCTTTTTTTCAGTGACTTTTAAAAAACAGCTTTATTGAGATATAATAAATTTATATTTATGTAGAGATTAAATTTACCCACTTAAAGTGTACGATTTCATAGTTTTGATATATTGACAGAGTTGTGTGACCATCACCACAACCAACTTTAGAACATTTCCCTCACCCCTAAAAGAACCTATGCCCTTTAAAAGTCACCCTTCATTTTCTCTAAACCCCCTAGCCCTATAAAGTTCCATTCACATTTTGACAGAGTTAATTTTTAATTTTATTTATTTATTTATTTTGAGATGAAGCCTTGCTCCGTCACCCAGGCTGAAGTGCAGTGATGTGACCTTGGCTCACTATGGCCTCTGTGTCCCGGGTTCAAGTGATTCTCCTGTTTCAGCCGCCTGAGTAGCTGGGGTTATAGTCACGTGCCACTGTGCCTGGCTAGTTTTTGTAATTTTAGTAGAGATGGGTTTTCACCATGTTGGCCAGGCTTGTCTCAAACCCCTGAGCTCAAGTGATCTGCCCCACTCGGCCTCCCAAAGTATTAAGATTACAGCCATGAGCCACCGCTCCTGGCTGATGGAATTAATTCTCCCTCTCCTGAATTCAGGAGATTGATATTTCAAACTGTCTATTACACTTATGTTTACCTATATATCTCCCATTTTAGAACTGAGCACTTTGAAAATTCTCCTTTAGTAATTTTTCCCCATGAAATCCATCCCCTATTTCCACAGTAAAATGTCTTTTCAAAAGATGGAAGGCATTATACTTAAGTAGAATGTGTACAGAAAAATATTAAGACCCTCAGAATACCTCTACTCCTTACCTCAACACACAAATTCAGCATTTAAATTAGTTGTTTAATTCCTGTCCAGCAGAACATAAGAACCACCCTAGATGATAAACTAAGCATCTTCTCAGTGGCTTGTACTTTGATGTAAATAAGCTGTTTCTTTATGTTCAAATGTGCCTTTAAGGGTCATCCACAAGAAAGGGAGGCATAGACAGACATGTCAAAGATGATATCAGAGAAAAAAATGTTATACTTGCTTTGGTTACACTCTTTCTCCAGTAGCAAAGTGAACATGGGCTCCTTCATGAAGAAGTATTTTAAATGTTGACTACCACATTCTCCAGATGTCTGCCTGTGTTTATAATGAGGCTGTTTGTCAAACAGATTTATTCTTTCTGTGGATGTTTTAGCACCTACTATGTTAAATATGTTCTGCTAGGTGTTGGAGGGAATTAAAAAATAAATCATTTTTCAGTTCTTGCCTTCAGGGAGCTTCAGTTCTGTACTTGAGTAAAAAAATCATATTATTTGAATGTGGCCCTCTAATAGGGAAGTCAAAACAATGCCATCTGCATTGAATTTGTGAACATGAAAGTCTTGTCCAGTTTTGGAGTCTAATAATATACAGGGCTGATAATTTTATCCAGCTACATTTTACTATTTTTTTCCCCTTGAGATGTAGACTGGGACACAGGCTTACATTTAAAGAGTTGGGTAACATTCATTCAAAGAGCTTTGATTTCTAAGCTTGTCTTATGAACTGTATTACATTCAGAAGGATTTGAGTACGTTGTGGACAAATTCGTAAGCCATTCTGCAATGTAGGCACTCAGTTTTTGCATTTATGTGTTCAAACATTTGGGGATTAAGTTTTGAATTCTTTTAAGTACAGAGAATGGGAGTGTTCTAAATTTGTTTGGATATTCAAGCTTCTCTAGACAGGAAAATGCAGAGAATGAATTGCCTCCTCATCTCAAGCACAAAGTCAGATTTCTTACTCCACCTTCCTCTTCCTGGTACCCACATTTTCATCTTCTTTGTGGTTGTCTCTCTGAGGGTGTTTAAGCCAACTCCCTCTCCTCTCCTTGCCCAATCTTATTTGCATTTTGCCAAGGTTTTTCAACAAGTGTGTGATCACTTTGACACTTGATTGGCATGCTGAACGTTTTCAAAGACAGATTTTCTTTGTATTAGAGTACAATGCCACTCATTATGGTTATTCTTGCCATTCTTTTTGTAAAAATGTACTGTATACATTTTATCTATCCACACCTATTCAAATCCTACATTTTGGTAATGGGGCATCTAGAAAAATTGCTGACAGCTTGAATACAGTTAAGAGTAGTGTTTCTCAAAAGCTCTGCACTGGCCTCTCATGCAGTATAGGTGCATAGAACCTTCCCTATAGCAGAATCACAGAGGTTTGCAGTTTAAAATAGAATCTTGTGTTCTCTTTAAGGTATGACTTACTGTCCCTATAAACCAACCAATTCCTATCTGAGTATGACAGATGCTCTGACCTGCAGGATTTCATTATTTTAAAAATCCATAAATACTGGAAATAGTAATGAATAGAATGTTAAACATCAATGATTCTGCTGAGTATAAGCCTTTACTATTCTTAGTAGTATGAGGAGTGGCCATATTTGTGATGCAGAATTCTCAGAACCACATCATCTAGCCTTCTCATGATTTACCTCTTCCAGATAGACAGATACCTGCAATGGTCTATTCTTTTCAGGACTATGTAGTGTCAAACATTGGCTGCACCACTAATAGTTAAACTGGCTGCCCTGTTGATGTTTCTGGGGAGATTCATGAGTCCTTAAATAAAAACCTGCTGGTACTCATTTTATTTTCTATAGTGTTACCCATACAAAAAGCAGCTTGTTGCAATCAAAGCTTGCAATTCATCTGGTCTTGTAAATTTCAATTTAGAATCTGTGCCTGAAACCTGTTTTTCTGTCTCTTATTTCATGGTCACACTGCTGTCTTACTTCAGTTTTCCACTTTCACGGGGAAGAATGCTTGAATCTTTGAGATTCTCCCTCACCCTAACCCCAGCTCCAAATGGCATGTAGCCAATATTTTATTTTAGCCATCTCAAACTTACCATAAATTTCGTGAAAATCTGTTCAGCTATTTAAAATATTTTGTTAGCAGAACCACGGAAGCTTAATTACACACACACATCTATGTATAAAGGTATATGTGTATAAATATGGATTGTTACTGAAGTCCTGTTGTTGAGAGTGTTTACTATTCTTGTCTTTCAGAATAATTTTTGTAAGTTTAAAATGGATCCGTTTTTAATTGCTTTCCTGCATATGAAGAGTGAGAAGTGTTTGACACTTTGACTTTTGAGCTCAAATTTCTTGTAACACAGTTGAACTTGCATGGGTTCACATTTTAATGAAGTGTCATTGTGATAGAATGAGATTTTATTTCCAAGGAAAGGGAAAAGGAGGGAGTAATTAGGCTTTTTTTTTTTTTTTTGGAGATGCAGTCTCACTCTGTCGCTCCAGGCTAGAGTGCGGTTGCATGATCTTGGCTCACTGGAACTTCTGCCTACCAGGTTCAAGCTATTCTCCTGCCTCAGCCTCTTGAGTAGCTGAGATTACAGGCACGCACCACCACACCCTGCTAATTTTTGTAATTTTGGTAAAGATGGGGTTTCACCATGTTGGCCAGGCTGGTCTCTAACTCCTGACCTTGTGATCCGCATGCTTCGGCCTCCCAAAGTGCTGGGGTTACAGGCATGAGCCACTGCACCCGGCCTGAGTAATGATGCTTTGAGCAAAAGCATTGGCTTCTTTTTAATTTCACTTCAACCTAGTATCAGATAAAGAATATGAAGAAACCAACTCTTGCATATATATTTTTCTGAAATAGGAAGAGGGATAATAGAAAGATAATGGGGAAATTGCAAAGTCTGTTAGAATTTGATAAACGTCTTTCCTCTGTTTTTCATTCAGGATGAATCAATGAGACACATTTCTGAGGGCTGTCCAGGGGTCTTGTATCTCAATCTGTCTAACACAACTATCACCAACAGGACAATGCGACTCCTGCCGAGGTAATGCTTGTGTTATTTGTACGACACTGAAAATAATTATGCTCCCAAAGTCTCTGACTTGCTCTAGCATTTTGCAAAGGCAGTGTTGCCTTTATCAGCACCCTGCCACTGTGACACTGCTATTCTGATAAGGGACTGCTGGATGCTTTCAAGTTCCTAAGCTGGTGCCTGCGCTCTCCCTAGTTGGCCAGTTCAGTTTGAATAACTGGTCTTCTGCCTTGCCTAACATTTTTGTCACTTCTACAGCAATGTACCCAGTAGCTTGAGTTAGACTTTGCCTGTTTCTTTCTGGTCCCCCATCCTGGGCAGTCAAGCTCTCTGGCCCTTACATTCCAGTTTGGTGTCTGGGAGCTCTTCATAATAGAATGCCAACATCCTCATTACCAAACTTTGAACACTCTTGTCCCAGATCCCTGTTTCCATGCTCTGGCTACCTCTTGAGACCCTTACCACCGCTAAGGAGCCTCACACTGGTTATTTTTTGACTTTTTATGGAGTATTGACAACACTGAATATTGCTTCTCTTTTTTGGAGGAGAAGGGACAGAATAACAAAAGAGTTGACAGGATATTCAAATGTATCACAAATTTATGTCGGTTATTCTTTTTAGTTTGTTTGTTTTGAAACAGGGTCTTACTGTGCTGCCCAGGCTGCAGTGCAATGGCACAATCATGGCTCACTGCAGCCTCAATCTCCTGGGTTCAAACAGTCCTCCCACCTCAGCCTCCTGAGTAGCTGGGACTACAGGAGTGTGCCACCATGCCCAGCTAGTTTTTGTGTTTTCTGTAGATATGGGCTTTCACTATGTTGTCCAAGCTGGTCTCAAACTCCTGGGCTCAAGTGATCTGCCCACTTGGGCCTCCTGAAGTGCTGGCATGAGCCACCGTGCCTGGCCCAATTCTTTATTTTCGCTACAGAAAGACCAGTCAGGAAGGGTATATGATCACACTAGGAGAGATTCATTAACTAAGCTGCCACTTGTAAAAACTCAAATCTGTAAAGCTTTCCCTTTGAAATTTCTTCTGATGCTCTTAAATATAGTCTTCTTCCTGCCAGGCATTTAATACACATTTGCTTATTTATGTGTATGCATGTATTTTTACTTAAATATGTAGTCAATCTAGAATTGAACTTTGTAGATGAATGAAGCAATGATCTAAATCAGGGGTCAGTAACTACAGCCCATGTGGCCCAAGGCTTATTTTTGTGCAGTATATAAGCTAAACATAGTTTTACATTTTAAATGTTGTTAAATAGCTAACCAATTATTTCGGCAGCATTTATTGAATAAAACTTTTATCAAATGATGTGTGATTTCTCCTTATATATCTAAAATTCTTATACAGGCAAGAAATACTTAAAACTCATTGCTTTCTAATATTTTTCTACATGTTACTTTATCTGTGTTCTTGTGGTTGTTTATGTCTATTGTATCTCTTTGGTGAAAATGCTACAGAATAGAGTGCAATTTTTTCCCAAATCCATGTTTGGTGACCTCTCATTGGCAGCTTGGATTTGGCCAATATGGAAGTATTCTATAACATGGAAAACATTAAACATTACAAATCAGGGCTTGATTTATTGTTTAGACTTAAAGTGATGGAGAACACAATTAATGAAGCAAATTAAATTTAAAAGTAGGTCATGTCTGTAGCCACAACATTGTGAAACAGCACAAAACATTAATGTTCTCTCAATACTTGAAAACTATTCTTTGATTCAGCACAGAAGGCACTCACATCACTGACAGACAAGCAGAGTTTGGACATCTATCTTTGACATATATCACTCGTGTTTTATTAATGTTAATAAAATAGTTCATATTGGAACTGTAATCATTCTTCAGATTCAACTGTTGATTGGCTAGCTACATTTATGAGTTTCTTTGGCAAAAGTCAATGAAAACTTGGTGTGAGAATTGATTGGCTACGTGGAATTTACAGTAAAGAATATTGTATGTTTTATCATTTGTAAGTTGTATGCTGCACATCCTTTATATCCATAAAATAATAAATACAAAATATAAAATTTTATAGTAAATGCACATACATTTATATGCATACTTTTTTTTTGAAAGCCAGTTGTTACTTATCAATATACCAATAATTAAACTAGGAGTTAATTTATATATTTTCATTTGCATGATTTGATTTCTCTCCTTTTAAAAGTTAAAAAAAAATAGTGTCATGAAATGACTTCTAAAGAATAATTTGGGAAAAGTATATAATTTGATAAGTATTGTTTCAACTTTCTAAACCAACTATTTTATATTTGCTTTCTTCTTTGAACCGGTAATATTTATTTATTTATTTTTTGAGGCACAGTCTTGCTTTGTCACCCAGGCTGGAATGCAGTGGTGCGATCTCGGCTCACTGCAGCCTCCACCTCCTGGGCTCAAGCGATTCTCCTGCCCCAGCCTCTCAAGTAACTAGGATTACAGGTGTGAGCTACCATGGCCAGCTAATATTTGTGTTTTTAGTAGAGACAAGGTTTCATCATGTTGGCCAGGCTGGTTTTCAACTCCTGACCTCAAGTAATCCACTCATGTTAGCCTTCTGAAGTGCTGGGTTTACAGGCATGAGCCACTGTGCCTGGCCTGAATTCATTTTTAACTGCTATCAACATAGTTACCATTGTTTTCTTTTGCTTGTGCTTTTTGGGGAATGACTACATTTCTCTGTATTTTTAACCTTTGTGACGTGGGATTTTAGGTTTATCTTTTATGTGTAGCATGTAGCTAGCTTCTATTTTTAAATTCATTCTCTTTGCATTTATAAGAGAGCAGTTTAAAAGATCACTATTTATTGTCAACATTGAGTGTATGGGCCATGTGTGATGGCTCACTGTAACCCCTGCAGTTTGGGAGGCGGACTGCTTGAGCCTAGGAGTTTGAGACCAGCCTGGACAACATGGTAAAACCCCATGTCTAAAAAAAAAAATACAAAAATTAGTGGGGGGTGGTAGCATGCACCTGTAGTCCCAGCTACTCAGGAGGCTGAGGCAGGAGGATCACTTGAGCATGGGAGGTCAAGGCTGCAGTGAGTCGTGATTGTGTTTTGACAGAGTGAGACCCTATCGCAAAAAAAATTTTTAAGTGTATGGTTTTATTTTTATCATCTTGTTTTGCATTTTGATTTTTATGTTACTGCACTTAAGAGTTTCTGGCTTCTGCTATATGAACTGTGTTTACTTTGTATAATAAACATAGGTATTCAAAAGATACATAAATATTCTGTTGTATATTCTAATTAGTAGCTATGGGCATGTTTTTAAAAACATACTTTGACAGGCATTTCTCTAATTACCAAAGCCAAGATGAAACAACAACTTTTGGGTCCTCCTATGTTACACAATGATCTAATACATTTCAGTTGTCCAGCTACTTCTCCCTTGAACTTGATGCCCCTTCACTCCTACTCCCCAGTATGAACACATATTAATTATAGTTTTTGCTAATCATTTAACTTTCTTTTTAATATTGAATTTTGGTATTCACACTCAATATTGTGATTATATTTATAATGAGTTCTAGGCCATTCATTGATGGTCTTTTTTCTTATAACTTATTCTTTAGCTTTGACTTTGATTCATCTGAGGATAACTAGAAATATAATTTTAAAAATCTTTTTTCAGTAAAGATGCATGAGAGAGTTTTAGCCATTGATCTCTGAAAATGACTATTATTTTGCAGGATAAACAAAAATTTATCTTTATGTATGGTTCTTGAATCATGTTCTGTATTTTATCTTTAAAACCCCAATGTTTTAAATATTGGTCCATAAACTTTGATATTTCAGGTTATAGAAAGTCTGAAGCTAGGATGATTTTTTTGTTCCTCTGTTGGTAACCTATTTTTTCCTGCTAAGATGCTTGCAAGACTTTCCTTTTCTCTGAGAAATTAAAGACATTTCCAAGCTTAATTGTGTTCCTTCAATTAATTTTTCCTGGAACACATTAAACCTTTTGAACACTAAATCGTATTTTTTTCTCAGCTAGGGAAGGCATTTTTCTTCGTAATGCTTCTATCCATTTGTTCAGAGTTTATCATAAGAATATCCTTTTATTTTTAGATCCGATTTTATTGCTGTCCTTCAAAGATGTTTCTTTCATGATTTTTTATCTCTGTATGCCTTTCCATTCGCATATTTCCATCTCTTTATCAGTAGTTCTTGAAATATAGTTTAGGAACAGCAGTATTCTGGTAAATGCTTAACAACTGGCTGGTGGCAAGGATGAGGAGAAGTACCAATTCCTAGTGCTTACTGATTTCTGCTGTGTAAATAATTCCACTGTGGCCAATTTTAAGCTACCAATGCAATGTCACTGAATGTGGAGTTGGGAAGAGATGCTAACAATCAACTCCCTTGAGCTGGTGCAAGCTGCCTCCAGTGACCACTGTGGGAGGTCCCTGAGGTTTCTCTAACACCCTTTCGGAAATTCCTTAAGGTTCTCCAGTCCTGTAATATTGAATGCCATTCAGTACTTTCTCGAGGCATTCTGTACTATGATATATAACTATGTGTATATATGTGTATGTATATATGTGTATGAATATATGTGCATGTATCTATGAACTTAAACATAGAAAAGGAGTATTATAAAATTCGTAAATCATAGGTGAAAATCTGAACTTATAAAGTAGATGATTTGGGAGCCGTTTTGTTTTGTTTTGTTTTGTTTTGTTTTGTTTATAGACAGGGCCTTGCCCTTACATCCAGGCTAGAGTATAGTGTGATTATAGCTCTCTGCAGCCTCAAACTTCTGGGCATGTCCAGCTAAATTAGAGGCATGGTCTCATGATGTTTCCCAGGCTGATCTCATGGTCTCAAGCTATCCTCTTGCCTCAGCTTCCCAAAGTGCTGGGGTTATAAGCATGATCCACTCTGCCTGATCCAGAGAGTAGTTTATATCACATTACAAATTATTTTTTAACTTAAAACATACTTATTTTCAATCATACATTGAAATAGCTTTTTTTCTCCTTAGAAATTGAAGGTAAT